TTAAGCAAAATTCAGATGTATTACAGTGGCTGTAATGCTTTTGTGTGTTATTAAAATGGTTCAAGGCTGTGGAACAACTTTGTAGACTCAGCAGTGCATTTATTAGGGCCTGCAAATGCTGTGAGACTCCATGGAAACATTAAAAATTGAAAAAGCAACCTCCAGAGATTCTCCAATGCTGGCAATATATGCGGGAGAAATTTTCAGAGACTTTTAACAAGCTCTACATGGGTAAAAGCTGTATAGCATTGATGCTTTTGTAGCTGTGCTTTGTCAGCTAAGGACAAAAGTTGTCTTTAAAAGAAGAATAGATTTTCTGTAGTTATTGCCTGTTGCTTTTCATAGTATTATTCAGGTTGGATCAGGTTGGGATCATCGAGTCCAACCATCAACCCCACTCTACAAAGTTCTCCCCTACACCATATCCCCCAACACCACATCTAAAGGACTCTTAAACACATTCAGGGATGGGGACTCCACCACCTCCCTGGGCAGCCTATTCCAGTGTCTGACCACTCTTTCTGTGAAGAATTTTTTTCCTAATGTCCAGTCTAAACCTACCCTGTTGCAGCTTGAAGCCACTCCCTCTCATTCTATCACCTGTGAGGAGAGACCAGCTACCAACCTCTCTTTTGTTGTGATGGTAGATGCACAACTGTCATCCTGGCTGAATATTTGGGTACTATTAGTTTGAAGGATGGGGATTAAAAAAAACCAAGAGGTCCTGGCTCTGGCCTGGGGCAAAGACTTGGGAGCAAACGTTGTGTGTGCCTCCGAGAGCCGAAGGGGTATGAAAATGGGCAATGCTGTATTTTAGCTGGGCACTCAGAGGAGGCCTGGAATGTAAACACTTCTTTCATCCTACCTACCTCAACAGGACTTCAATGTGCACTTCTTCCTATGTGTGTTTTGCTGTATATTGTGTATAAATGATTTAATTTTTTTTTTCCTTTTAGAATAAGCTCCGGAACGTTGCGTTGCTATTTATTCATTCACTCATGCTAGCTTTTCTTTCCTTGTTTCTTTCCTTTCCCTTTTCCCCTAGATCTATCAAGTTCAGAAGGTAGGGCTTGCGCTCTTTCATTCTTGTTTGCATGCGTGTGTTCCCACTTTGTGAGCCTTGCTAACATTTTTGGGGAAAAAAAAACTGCTTTAGGAACAGAAGACCCACCGCAGGCTTTGTATTTCTGTGCCATTCCCTCCCCCAGTGTTGTGGGGTGGATAATAAAGGGGAGTGGGGGAAGACAACCCGTGTTAAATGTGTCTGGTCAGGCACTGAATATAATTTTTCCTCCAGACTGTTTGGCAAAGAATAAGCAATGGGTGGAAGAGTAAATTGGCAAAGCAGCCGTTGCAGGAGAAGTGTGGTTGCTCCCTGTGTCACCAAGATCCAGACAGACAGACGTGTTGAAGGCCAAGGGGGCAAATATTTCAGGCTGGGCAAGGGCTTCAGAGGTGACAACAGGAAGAATGGCTTTCAGGTGACTTTGGTAGCAGAAGGTCACTGAAGTGAATCGAGGATGCTGAGTTTGAATCTAAAATCTTTGGGGAAATAAACTGTGTGGCCTTTCTTCCAATGTGACCTAAGCATTATAAATGCTTTTATGTTGTTTAATCCTCTCTCACCTCATTTTAAGGTCAGTTTCCTTTTCATAGTTTCAAATGATGGCGATGATGATGATGATAATAGCTCTAATTGAGGTCACTCACTGCATAACAACAGAGTTTTGGGTTCTGCGTTACAATATTTGGTCACTCTGTACTTCCAGCATGTGTGGCACCCAGAAAGAGGAATAGCTCCAAAGAGATTTTGCAGGGAGGGAGAAAAGCTGTCTTCGAGCCTTCCGTTATCTACCTTATTGAACATTTCCTTTTTTCCTCATTGCTTGCTGAGATGATAAACGTTTCCTAAAGCCACAGCCTGTTTGGTTTTGCTTCTGGCACCCCAGCAGCCTGAACTGCATGTTTCACTCGCTTGACCTACAAGTGCATGTGCTTCTTGGAAATGCTCTTCTTCTCCATAAGTGCATCTGTCTATGAAGACAGCCACTCGAATCACGTGTGCTGGTTTTTAATCCCAACCCCATCAAATCTGCCAACAAATACATCTTCCCCGTGGTTTATTTGGGGAGCTGACTGCGGACCGGGTGACTCAAAGTTTCACTGTCTGCCCGTGGATCAACAGGCTCGTTATCAATCTCCTTTATAAGAGCTAATTTAATCTTCTGGTACAAACGCAGCCCCGTTGGGAGACGAGGAGGTTGTTTACTGGCGGCGTCCTGCCATGGATGAGAAGATAAGTGGGTTAGCCTCGCAAACATCCCCTGGCCACTTTGCAAGTCTAGCAGTTTCACTGACACTTAGTGAGCAAATCTGATCTGGAATTCTCTCTCAATGGTATTAACATCGTTAATTATTTAAATTGTAATATCACTTTGCAGGGTAGAAGGGAACTTGAGTCTGGCGAAAGCCTCTTAACTAAAAAACAAATGAATGGATAAGCACCATTTCTTCCTTTAACCCCCTCGGCCATTCAGTCCAGAAGAGAAGAGTCACCGTAGAGAAAGAAATGGGAAGAGACTGAGGGGACAAACACACCTGAGGTTTCAAATGCTGCCCGTTCAGTCCAGTGTGAGACATGCTGTTTAAAAGATTGCACATTAAAAATAGTCTTAAGGCAATTGTGTTCATTAACATTTTTCTTCTGGGGGTATTAAGCTATGTAACTTTAAATGGTGGAGGAGAAGACGGTAAGTGGAACTTAACTCGTGACATAATAAGTCCTGCAAGGGGTATTTCCTGATCACCCTTTTGCAAAACCAAATTCAGAAGCTTAGGTCAGAAAGTAAGGAGAACAGAGAGCAGGAAAAGGAAGCAGCAGACCTTAAAAAAAATTATTAGTATGTTTAAGGATCCTTCTTATGTTTGAGAAAAGGATTCTCCATTTTCGTAGTGTTCTTTCTAAATTGGTTTCCAGTGTTAGAAATTGTAATGCATCTCTGGGGGGGAAAGAAAGCCCCTAAGGAGACCTTACCTGACCTGATTTACTACAAAGGATATAATCTGTAGCTTCTGATCTTGTACACAATCCTGACCAGCTGGAGTTCATGCAGTTTTCAGGGGTCATCTTCAGGAGGTGATGTACCTAAAAGTTGATTTTAAAGCAGGCTGTGGTACGCGTTACGCTTCTGCCTGGAAGGAATCAGCCTGAGCACTTGTGAGGGAGCCTGTAATGCCCGAAGAAACAACGGTTCGTGTCGCTCACTCTTAATTTCATGTAGTTCAAGGGAAATATTTCGCTTGTGTGCAGTTTGACGAGGCGTTATATAGGGGTATTAGATGTATTTGAGCACAGACTGAGATGATTTGCAGGGAAAGCATCTCATAGGGATGTGCTTGAAGCACTTCTTGAACCGTTGTTTCTTTTCCTTGTTCCAGAGAGGCGTTTGCATACTATTTAAATCTGCAATGCAGTGAATTTATTTCCTGTTTTCAAATTACTAGCCTGCAAACTTATTTTCTAATATTTTTCCCGATAAACGGGATTGCTGCGAGCCCCTCCTTTTTCCCATTTGACCCCAAAACTGACAGCATTTAAAGGTCCTGGTACAGTTTGGGCTAATTGAGCACCCTGCTGCCTATCCTGCTGCGTGACAGTCTTCTCTCCGGAGCTGTTAAGATGAAAATGAAGATGACCTTCACATGAAAATAACTTTGTTGTTTAAGGAGGAAGAACTCTGAAGTGGGAATAAACTGATACAGTATCAAAGAGCGTGCAGCTGCTTGTTCAAAGTCTATTAACACTGAATGAAGTTTTAAGGGTGAAAGTAAAATTACATTAATACCATTGAGCGAGTGCTAAATGCAGAGTATAACTGCTTGTTCAAAGTCTATTAACACTGAATGAGGTTTTAAGGGTGAAAGTAAAATTATATTAATATTAATTGAGTGAGTGCTAAATGCAGAGTATAATACAGAACAGGTTTCTCATTGTTTTTTTGATCATTATTTAAGGTTTTGACTATTCCTGCTTCCTCAAGGCCTCTAGGAAAGCTGGCAAGCGCAGGCTTGTTTCTTCCACAAATACATGAACCTCAAAGCACATAATCTAAATTCTTTTCTAAAACACATATTATTCTTCTTGAAGCAGGATTTCCATTTGCTGATTCCTGTGCTTTAGGCTGGTGATTTTTCTTCTACGCAGGAACAATACGGTCCCCCTTGTCAAGGCAAATTTAACGAGCCCAGGTGCGACACGCGTGTTTGGGGAGGAAGGAAAGCCCTACAAGATGTTGGGATCTTTGAACAACTTGCTGCCTGGTGGACATGCAAGTTCATTGGGAAGTTCCCCAATGTCCTGCAAAGAAATGATGAGCCACAAAATGGTTGTACCAAGGAGAGCCATGGTGTTTGGGACTGAAATGCAGAGAGTTTTCCAGTCTTGCCTGCTCTTCTCTCCGTGTCGGTGATACCACCGTGGTCAGGATGGTTCAAGTGTTGTGCTCTGAAAAGGAGCTCTGGGGAGGTCCAAATACAACAAATAAGAATATTGTATTCAAATATTGTATTCAACTTGTCTTCCCATTTTGACAAACCTATATGGTCAACGTGATTTGACGGCATTTTGGGTTTTTTTATCCTGAAAGTGTTCCGCGTTTGGCTCCCTTGTAATGAGACTTGACTTAAATGGGTCAGGAATTCAAGGCTCGTTAACGCTCCTTGCTCCTGTCCCCACAGCACTGGGTTTTTGGTTTTTTTATTTTGCACTGCTGAGAATGGAGATGCTGTCGAATACCCCAGCTGTACCCCAAAAACCCCTTTTCCCCTTAACTGGCAGCTTTTCCTGGTGGCACTTGGCACAGCTTTTCCTTCACTTGTTTGTGTGTGTTTGTGTGTGGAGTGTGTGGCTCGGCCAAAACCCGGCACTGCATGCCTCTAAACATTCCCTGTTTGCCTTTCTCATCTAAATTCTGCTTTTTTTTCCCCTTTTCTGTCTGTAGAAATATTATGGTCTGGATACTAAATGGGGAGACATCGAGCAATGGATGGTAGGCCTTGATCAACGTAGCTAAACAGCTGCTACCTGTTGAAGTTTTGTGTAGTTCGTAGAGTTTGAAATCCTTCCAAGTAGGTATTTTCACGTATTGGAAAAGTGAATTCCACTTATCTCCAGGATTATTGCAGTCCACATCAGTACCTGAAACATGGCTTATCATCAGCTTAAAACAGGCAAGGATTTGGATAGAGGAAGATTAGCTTAGCACGTAGGCACGTTAAATCCACTTGTGATACGAGGAATATATTTACTCGTTTTCACTTCTTGTGGGTTTTTGTTACAGTTTGAGTCTTCTCAAATCTGTCTTCAGTTAAATTTTGGGCACGTTTTAGCCGTGCTTCTGTTCAGATGCATTATTGCTGCTGCTATGGCAATGCTTGCTTTTCCCAATAATGCAACCTCCTGGATTTTACTGTTTGCTCAGCCGATGAAGATGATACCAGAGATGGACTTGGCCATTAGCAACTTATGACTGTTTTAACACCCACAGTGTAAGATGAAGAAGTTGCTAAAGGACTGGAAGACACTGGCTGGAAGGGGTTGGAAGACATTGGCTTCAAATCCAAATGTCCTTCAAACATAACTGATTTTGTAAACGTACCAGATGAAAACAGTTGTTCATGGCCTTGCCCTACAAGCTGAGTAGCTCACACTGAAAAAGGCAAACTTAAACAGCTGAATTCCGCAACCTCCTGGATTTTACTGTTTGCTCAGCTGATGAAGGTGATACCAGATATGGACTTGGCCATTAGCAACTTGTGAGTGTCTTAACACCCACAGTGTAAGATGAAGAAGTTGCTAAAGGACTGGAAGACACTGGCTGGAAGGGGTTGGAAGACATTGGCTTCAAATCCAAATGTCCTTCAAACATAACTGATTTTGTAAACGTACCAGATGAAAACAGTTGTTCATGGCCTTGCCCTACAAGCTGAGTAGCTCACACTGAAAAAGGCAAACTTAAACAGCTGAATTCCAGTGTGGAAGTCAAACTCCCCAACTTCCTCAGCCCTTGATAATTAATCAGTATAAATGCTGGTTTGCTCTGTGCCTTCTTGAAAGCCATATGGACCAACCGTCCACCCAAGACGCTCCAATCTCATGGATAAGTTGCTAAGTCTCTTCAAATCCTGGCTTGGTGAGCTTAGCTCCACCTTATTAGCAATTCCCTTGCTTAGAAATCAGCTCACCTGTGAGAAGCATCAACTACAACGTTGAAAATTTCCTATCGCTGTTTCTAAATTCGATGTAAAATTCAGTTTGTCGAAACCTAATAGATCCTACAGCATTTCCAGCATTAAAACAGCTTTTGGTCTGCGAAAGGCAGCAGTGCTGTGTGTCACAGGGGCTGTAAGCAAAGCACAGCTGCTTTTCATCTGGAAGAAAGGGCCAGGCTCTAAAATACTCACTAGAGAGAGACCGTTGCCCTTCCACATCATTTCAGACAGAAGATTTTTGAGGTTTATTTTGAAGGACTGCAAACTGGAAAGCTTAATGCCGAAAGGACTGTAAGTATGGTGATTACCAGATGCAGAGAGATGCACTTGAAACACTTTTTTTGAGATAGTCGTCACTGTGTACATTTTTCTGTAAAAATAATGGACACACGTAGCAGAATGAAACAGGGGAAGAAAGTTGGGGTCGCGAGTGGGGGGGAGAAAAAAAAGGGGGTTTTCTGACTTGACAGGGTGTCACCTTCCGTTATTTGGTTTAACTTTAACTGACTCCTAGGCATTGCTGAAGTGTCACTGTGTCTTTCTGAAAGCACTCTGGTGTTATCTGTCCTTCCAACACTTCGCTCTTTGTTTTTCTCTGCTGCCTTGGTAGGAAGACAGTGAGCGTTACTCCCGTAGAGCCCGAAGAAATGCCTCGGTTGGTATCTGCTTTTTGCTTTTTTATTTATAGCTAGACATTTCAAATTAAGAAAACAGCCATACATAAGGCAGTTCCTTTTTAGAAGGAAAGAAACAAAACAAGCTTTTCCCCCCCCCACCCCTCCCTGCCTCAGCTGAGTGAAAACCCCAAAGCCACTTCCTGAATTTTCTACCCTCTCCCCAGTCACTCCGGGGAGTTTTGCAAATGTGCTAAGAATAAAGGGGGGCAGGGGGTGGAAGGTGGGGAAATAACCTCCTTGGGGCGTTTAATGTTCATTTATTCAGACTATGGGCCGAGAGCACAGAGCAGGAAACGCCCAAGTAAGCTTGTTGTTCACCTTGTAGTAAAATACTCAACAGTGTTTCTTGGGCAGGATTTACTTTCTGCTTATAGTTCTAATGCAGTTCTTTTTAAAAGACATTTATTTTGTAAGTCTTTCCTTTCCTTCTGTCCCATCAGAGCCATCTGCATTTACCTCGCTGCCTGTGTTACTTGTGTTCTTTTCATTGTTTTCTTGTCTTTATACTTTCTTTCATTAGGCTTCGGATGAAGATGAGCACATGTCAGTGGGTAGCCGTGGAAGCCTGAGGGTTGGTAAATTGTACAACTTAAGTGTGCATGTGTGTGTGTACTGAGAGATGCACTTGAAACACTTTTTTTGAGATAAAGTCATCACTGGGCACATTTTTCTGTAAAAAATAATGGACACACGTAGCAGAATGAAACAGGGGAAGAAAGTTGGGGTCGCGAGTGGGGGGGAGAAAAAAAAGGGGGTTTTCTGACTTGACAGGGTGTCACCTTCCGTTATTTGGTTTAACCTTAACTGACTCCTAAGCATTGCTGAAGTGTCACTGTGTCTTTCTGAAAGCACTCTGGTGTATCTGTCCTTCCAACACTTCGCTCTTTGTTTTTCTCTGCTGCCTTGGTAGGAAGACAGTGAGCGTTACTCCCGTAGAGCCCGAAGAAATGCCTCGGTTGGTATCTGCTTTTTGCTTTTTTATTTATAGCTAGACATTTCAAATTAAGAAAACAGCCATACATAAGGCAGTTCCTTTTTAGAAGGAAAGAAACAAAACAAGCTTTTCCCCCCCCCACCCCTCCCTGCCTCAGCTGAGTGAAAACCCCAAAGCCACTTCCTGAATTTTCTACCCTCTCCCCAGTCACTCCGGGGAGTTTTGCAAATGTGCTAAGAATAAAGGGGGGCAGGGGGTGGAAGGTGGGGAAATAACCTCCTTGGGGCGTTTAATGTTCATTTATTCAGACTATGGGCCGAGAGCACAGAGCAGGAAACGCCCAAGTAAGCTTGTTGTTCACCTTGTAGTAAAATACTCAACAGTGTTTCTTGGGCAGGATTTACTTTCTGCTTATAGTTCTAATGCAGTTCTTTTTAAAAGACATTTATTTTGTAAGTCTTTCCTTTCCTTCTGTCCCATCAGAGCCATCTGCATTTACCTCGCTGCCTGTGTTACTTGTGTTCTTTTCATTGTTTTCTTGTCTTTATACTTTCTTTCATTAGGCTTCGGATGAAGATGAGCACATGTCAGTGGGTAGCCGTGGAAGCCTGAGGGTTGGTAAATTGTACAACTTAAGTGTGCATGTGTGTGTGTACTGATGTTGCTGTCCCCTCTAACCCCAGACTGCTTACAGTACTCTGGGAACGTCATCCTTCCAAGGTCTTACCATCTTCCATGTTCAATGCAAATGGGGTTTAGCTTCCTCACCAGTGGGGAGGAGAGGGGGAGAATGACCTCCCTCCACCTCCTGGCCCCACTCTTCCCTACACAGCCCAGGATCCCATTGGCTCCCTTGGCCACAAGGGCCCATTGCTGGCTCATGGAGAGTTTACTATCTACCAGGACCCCCAGATCCTTCTCCTCAGAAGTGCTTTCCAGCAGGTCCACCCCTAACCTCTATTGGTGCCTGGGGTTCTTCCTCCCCAGGTGCAGGACCCTACACTTCCCCTTGTTGAACCTCATGATCTCAGAATCACAGAATCTTAGTGGTTGGAAGGGACCTCCGAGATCATCAAGTCCATGATGTTCTTCTCTGCCCAGCTCTCCAGCCTGTCCAGGTCACGCTGGATGGTGGCACAGCCCTCTGGAGCATCAGCCAGCCCTCCCAGTTTGGTATCATCAGCAAACTTGCTGAGGATACACTCTGTCCCCTCCTCCAGGTCATTGATGAGTATGTTGAACAAAACTGGACCAAGTGTTGACCCCCGGGGGACACCACTGGTTACAGGCCTGAATTCTTTCAACCAGGGGAATTGTTAGTTTTTTTTTGAATGCAATATGTAGGAGCACAAGCAGAGCAGGATGGTGGCACAGCCCTCTGGAGCATCAGCCAGCCCTCCCAGTTTGGTATCATCAGCAAACTTGCTGAGGATACACTCTGTCCCCTCCTCCAGGTCATTGATGAGTATGTTGAACAAAACTGGAGCAGGCGTTGACCCCCGGGGGACACCACTGGTTACAGGCCTGAATTCTTTCAGCCAGGGGAATTGTTAGATCTGTGTGCACTATGTAGGAGCACAAGCAGAGTGTGTGACTCTGTAGAATCCTTTCTGGTAAATGCTGTTCACCGTTGCTTTTGCAGGAAGTACTCAGCCAAGACAGTGGTGTGTGCAGCTATTTCTTATATGCACCCTGTAAGCTCCCCTGCTTCATCGCCCATACCGAGAATTTGGGAAGAGGAAGCGTTGTCTTACTCCATGATCAATGTTTCATGAGCTCAGGAAGCCAAAAGCAAATGATGAGTAGAAATAAATCTTTAGTGTTTTAGAATTGCAGGTGGATGCTCTCCTCAAAACTGCTTTAGAGAGATTTGAAATTGGTCTGCAGACCTGAGTGGTCCAACGCGGCAGTACTAACCTGCAGGGAAAAGTTCAAAAAGCTTTCTCTCAAAATATCCGTAGGGTGTTTGTTCACATAATCCACACATGGACAAATCTTAACTCCTTTCTAGCATGGACATGACCAGCTCTTGTAATGGTGAAGGTAGTTTGAGCAGTTGGGTTGTGAAGAGGGAACGCTGCTGTCTCAGCGTGTTGGTAAGTCTTCAGAAGATGAGCAGAGCGCTCCGCTTCCGAGACCTAGAAGCTTTCAGGCAACCACAAAACTGAAACCATCTCCAGCAGCACTGTGGAGGAAGCTCTCTGCAGCCCTCAGCTTGAATCAGCTGCAACCTGGTTTATGGCATGGAGTCATTTGTGCCTAAACCAGTTGTGTTTGAGGAAAAAAAAATCAGTTTGTTTGTTCTACTGATGTTGTTCCTAACTTAGCAGTGATGCGTGTTGGTAAGTCTTCAGAAGATGAGCAGAGCGCTCCGCTTCCGAGACCTAGAAGCTTTCAGGCAACCACAAAACTGAAACCATCTCCAGCAGCACTGTGGAGGAAGCTCTCTGCAGCCCTCAGCTTGAATCAGCTGCAACCTGGTTTATGGCATGGAGTCATTTGTGCCTAAACCAGTTGTGTTTGAGGAAAAAAAATCAGTTTGTTTGTTCTTCTACTGATTTTGTTCCTAACTTAGCAGTGATGGTAGTTACGTGGCTAAGCTGGATGATCAATTCTATTTTTATAGAACAAACAAAGCCTGTATCATTCATAGCAAGATCTTAATTTCTAATCCTTGGTTTCTGGCTTCTTTGGAGATTTCATGTCATTATTTTATTTTATTTTTTTTCTCCTTAAAAAACGCCTTGGTTTCTGGCTTCTTTGGAGATTTCATATCATAATTTTATTTTATTTTTTTTCCTCCTTAAAAATCTTGCTAATAATTATCTAGGCTAAAGCTAACTTTTTTTCTTCCTGACCAAGTATCCCCCAAAGAACAGAACTGAGTCAAGCACCTCTTATGCCTCTAGAAGAGTTCTGGAAAATAAAGGAGAAAAAGTTTTTTAGAAATCCTGCTGCAGAGTTCTGGAAAATAAAGGAGAAAAAGTTTTTTTAAAAATCCTGCTGCAGAGTCGTGCTCAATGATTCCTAACAGAATTCACTGTAAGGTAGCATAAGATGTAGTTAAAATTGACTGTTGCCTAGTTCCTTTATTAGTGGAATACTTATTACTGCTTATGAAATGCTGTTAAAATCTTTAAGATTGCAAATTTACTCAATTGCTTTCCCAAGCTGGAAGATGCCTTAAAGCTCCAAAGATCCAATGAAGAAAAGCTTATCTTCACAGCTGAAGGCAAAAACCAGTGTTTATTTTACTTAAACTTGGGCATGTTTATGGAAGTGGGGTTTTTTTTGAGGGGAAAAAGATTCTCTAGGTCAGTTGAAATGTCAATTCTTTCTATTTAGGAGGTGATTATGATACAAATAGGTGGTTTGACCATGGCTATAACTCCATGACCCTTGATAGGGCAGGAGGCACTTATTTATAGCAGGAGCCCTGTTCATCTGAAATACCCTTTTTTCATGGAAATCCACTGCTGACTCCTCTTGATGTGGTTTTGTAATGTGATCCTTGCGTTTTATTGTTATATATTTAAATAGCAGAAGCATTCCGTTCTGTTTCCCCACCGTTTCTTGAGAAGAAGCTTTTCTGACTTGGTTTTTACCCCAAAACAGCCAGTTTCTGGGCTGCCAGCTGCCTTCAGGCTGCGATAACCACCGCTGGCCTGGTGAAAAAACGGTCTCCAGCTGGATGAGCCATAAATACCTCCTATTTCTGCAAAGAATGTCCTTTTCTGACAGGAGGATCCGGTTGAAACTTGGTATTTCTAGTGATGTTGCACAGGCTCCCTCCTGGCCTCGTGAAGCAGCACTGGGTGAATATCTATTCTTGTGCAAGCTGAGACTCGAGCAGGCACAGGAAAAAGAGTTTTGACAGAGCTTCCTTCCCTGATCCAAGTGTCACCAGGATTGTAGAAGAAAGTAGGAAAGTAAACCTGCAAATTCACCGTTTTACCCTCATGTGTCTTTTAGTTGTTTTACTCGCAATGAATTTGACCATCGATTATTTTCCTAGTGTGGGTTTACAGTAGATTATTTTAGTAGTTTCACCACTGTCTTTGACTATTTGTGAAGGTTTAGCTGTTGCTGCGTGTTCAAAACAAAACAAAAACACAAACCACCACCAAACAAAAATTACCTCCGAGGACTAGAATTCACAGTTTGGTTTCTGAGCTATTTTAGGGTGAAGACAGCACGAAAACCCGTTATCTTGTGTCCACCAAGGGTTTATAAAACTAGTCAGAGAATTCTGTATACTTCTTTATTTTTGTGTTATAAAACTAGTCAGAGAATTCTGTATACTCCTTCTTTATTTTTGTATATTTTTCCATGGTTGTGGGATGCCGTTGTAATTGGTCTGTGAGACCTTCATTGTCTGAAAAGAAATCTCACATCTTTGGCGCTCAGGCTCTGTGAGGGGTTGATGGCTTTAGGGTTTGCTCTTTGAAGCTATGCTCCTTTTATGTACAGGGATTTTTTTTCAATGAAGTGAGCCAATAACAAAAACATACTTCATGCTAAAACTTTACCACCCACCTAATCTGTGCGAGTTTTTGGGATTTTCTCCTGGAATGTTTTCTAAGCTTTACCACCCACCTAATCTGTGCGAGTTTTTTTGGGATTTTCTCCCGGAATGTTTTCTAAGGTCAGAGAATTCTGTATACTCCTTCTTTATTTTTGTATATTTTTCCATGGTTGTGGGATGCCGTTGTAATTGGTCTGTGAGACCTTCATTGTCTGAAAAGAAATCTCACATCTTTGGCGCTCAGGCTCTGTGAGGGGTTGATGGCTTTAGGGTTTGCTCTTTGAAGCTATGCTCCTTTTATGTACAGGGATTTTTTTTCAATGAAGTGAGCCAATAACAAAAACATACTTCATGCTAAAACTTTACCACCCACCTAATCTGTGCGAGTTTTTGGGATTTTCTCCTGGAATGTTTTCTAAGCGGATATCTGAACTGCAGGCACCAGAGATCTGCTGAGGTGGCTTTTGGGGAGGTGGCTTGGATGCTTCTTGCAGAACAACTGTCAATATGGATTGCAAAACCACCTGAGGTGCTGATTAGACCAGGGTAGCAAATTGATTTAAGTTCTACAGCTGGGACTATACTGTAAACAGTGGCCCATGGTGTTGATATAAGGCGAGCTTGAATATATCTCAACCCTCCTGCCCCTCCAGCTGCGATGAAGGGGCATCTTTAATAGCTTTTCTGTGGCTCATCCTGTGTTTGAGATGCTGGAGCATCTCTTCCATCTCTCTTCCACTGCAGATGTCCTCGTTTTCTCACTTCTCAGCTGGCTCACTCAAGTCCGAGACCATCCAGCACGAAATATTTCTGGGCTATTAATTGCTCGTGGTGGAATCTGTGCATTTTCCTTGTTTTGTTTGCTCCAAAGCTCCTGACTTCTGGCTTTGTGCAAGACGTCCCGCATTGTCAAATTCTTCAGTTGGGATTTACATCTCTCTGCCTGTTGCATTTGTTTTTGTTGTTGTTGTTTGGTTGCTTTCTTTTGTTTTGGGGGGATTGCCATAACTGACTTTGGTGTTTTCCTTTGCGTTCTGATTTTTCTTTCCTCTCCTGCCTTTGCAGTCTCAGTTGGAATATGCCAGCTCCTGCGCAGGGGTGAGAATAAATAGCCTGCAAAGTTGCAGTGTGTGTTTAAAAACTAATCACCAAGAAGAGACTAACATCAGTTGTGATGGCTGATCTGAGATAAGGGGTGATCTGAAGTGATGCTGGGGCTGTGGTCTGTGATGCAAAGATGCTGCTTCCCTTGCCTGCAGCTCAGATGAAAACTGCTGAATGATTTGAGAGATCCAAGTTAGGTTTAGATCAGTAGTTACCACAGGACAGAGCAGAAGAGCTTTTCCTTCCCCTAACAGACTTTCTCTGTTACCTGGTCAAATCATGGACAGACTGCGTGTCTGGTTTTGTTTTAGCATAAATCTGGCAAGGAATAAAACTCTCACAAACTCCCTCTGAGTAGATCTAGCAAAGGAAACTGGAGGAGAAATACGCTGCCTCTTGAGTATGGAGCTGCTACCTTTGCTTTGGGAGGATAAAATCAAACTCTACGGGTAATAATAGGATGAGAGCAAGTATTTGCATTGAACACGTTGAGATAAAGCTGATTCTTGGACAAACCAAACAGGGAAGGAAGAATGAGGATTGGGACTTCAAGCTCAGTTTAAAAAAAAATTTCCTCATCCTGTTACTCTTTCAGCTGTGTTGAAATAGAGGTGTCTCAGAAAGGTGTTTTCTGCAGAAGGCAAACTGTGGAGAGCAGGTTTACGGACTCCAGATTTTTTTTTTTTCACTCTCCTGTGTTCCCTGCCCTGTTTCAAATTAGGGCTGCAATATATCTATTTGTGAGTGACCTATATACAGAAATAGCTCAAACACATTTGGATTTTTTTTTTGCGTGGATGTATCGATGTAGGGAGGACAGACAGCTGGTGGCTCTTTTAATTGACAACCCAGCAAGCGTGAACGATTTGAACTGCGGCTACTAAATTTAACAGCACTATCATCACTTCTAACAATATTCTTTAATAACTAATCATTTGACTTTGAGATTTGATTGATTGATTGATTGATTTATTTCCCTGTGTGCTTACTGAGGCGTGCTGTGCAGAGCTAGAGGGAAGAGACTGATGTTTTTGCATGTTGATGTGCATGCCTGGCTACGGATGGGTGGGCCTGACTATTGATCTTTTCATCCTGCGTTCTTAATCTCACTGCAGGCTGGATTAGAGAATGAGAGGACCAAAAAGAAGAACTACTCCAAAGCAGTATGTATCTTGACCATCTCGCAGCAATTTTTTTATTTTTTTAATTTTTTTTTTGCCTGCAAAACCACTGCGATAGGACGAAGAAGATGTGCAAACGTGTTGAGCTCACCAGCCTGATGTCAAGGATACGGGGTTATAATTAGCAGGATTTGGTGGGTTTGGGAGAACATGGAGCATCACTTCATCTGCAAAACGTGGCATAACCCTAAAGCACTTGCATTAGTGTTGTAGATAAAGAGCATCTTGGAAAAAACTCAAAACTTAACTTGAGCTTTACCATTACCCAGATTAATATTATCATAGAATCATAGAATTGCCCAGGCCAGAAGGGTCCTCCAAAGGCCATCTAGTCCGACCTCCCCGCAGTCAGCAGGGACACCCCCAACTAGACCAGGTTGCCCAGGGCCTCGTCGAGCCTCTCCTTGAATATCTCCAGGGAAGGGGCCTCAACCACCTCCCTGGGCAACCTGTTCCAGTGCTCCACCACCCTCACAGTGAAGAACCCTCTCCTCATCTCCAGTTTAAATCTGTTCCCCTCCAGCTTGAAGCCATTGCCCCTCGTCCTGTCACTGCAGGCCTTTCTAAACAGGTTCTCCCCAGCCTTCCTGTAGGCTCCCTTCAGGTACTGGAAGGCTGCTATTAGGTCTCCCCAGAGCTCTTCTCCAGGCTCACTCATGCGTTCTTAATCTCACTGCAGGCTGGATTAGAGAATGAGAGGACCAAAAAGAAGAACTACTCCAAAGCAGTATGTATCTTGACCATCTCGCAGCAATATTATTTTTTTTATTTTTTTTTGCCTGCAAAACCACTGCGATAGGACGAAGAAGATGTGCAAACGTGTTGAGCTCACCAGCCTGATGTCAAGGATACGGGGTTATAATTAGCAGGATTTGGTGGGTTTGGGAGAACATGGAGCATCACTTCATCTGCAAAACGTGGCATAACCCTAAAGCACTTACATTAGTGTTGTAGATAAAGAGCATCTTGGAAAAAACTCAGAACTTAACTTGAGCTTTACCGTTACCCAGATTAATATTACCCAGAAATAGGTAACGCTGGTAGAATATATATATATATGTAGTAAAGGCTAGCGAGGATTGTTCCGGCCCAGGTGCAGAAACAGGTTTTACCCAGAAACAGGTAACACTGGTAGAATATATCTATATATATATGTAGTAAAAGCTGCATCTTTCATACTTTTCTGTGTAGTATCCATGCCTTACTGGCACCTGGAAAAATAGGGCACTACTTAAAGCACCACAGAGCCAGACCTGGATGGGTAAAGGGATAATGTGCTTTCACACAGCCAGGATTTTAGGTGAATCTCATGGGGAGCAATTCCAGGGAGGGGAAAGATGACACAAGAGAGGGCAAAGTGGTGTGCTGCTACTGCTGCTGCTGCAGAGGGAAGGCTACTGGTGCCAAAAAGAGGTTGCCCCACTGGCTTTGGCTTCTTCAGCACACTGGAAATCAGCAGAGAATTTTCTGAGCAGTGGAAGTTGGATGTGGGATTGAGAAAAGCCTGAAGGAGTAGCGTTAGCCACAGTGTAAAGTTAAAAAAATGTTACAAGTATAAACAGGCATAATGGCAACGAGAACGTTTTCTGCATCCGTTAAAAGCAAGAGGAAACTACAGAAAAGAATAGGGTCAATCGCACATGAAAGGAGAACAAGTAAAATCTGAATATTTTAGCCTCCCCGGTGTGCAATCTTATTTGTTCTAGTTTTTTTGAAGGTTATGATCAGCTACTTAGCATGGTAATGTGACATGGAACAAAGGTCAACGAGATCTCATAAAATTGATCGTGTCCTTCAAGAGTTGTCTGGAGTATTTGCCTTCAAAAATAAGGTGTTGGAAAGGTTTCTGGACGGGATTGGTCATCGTGACAAGGGAAATGACCTGAGCTGTGAGGTTTCAGTAGGAATTCTGAAAGATACGGGGCAAATTAAACAAATACACTTAAAGGTGCCTGAAATACAAAGCCATAAGCAGTTAACCTGGATGTGTGGAAAATTAATCATCTCAATTAAGCATGATTTCCCTAAGCAGAGTAATTATTTGAGGGCATATAGGAAAAGCATTAGACGTGACTATAACTTGGCTGTAAGGCTCTTGGTGTGTCTCTACGTGACATTAAGTGACACCTTGAGCAGGGTCTAGTTCTTCTAGAAGAAATGCACAGTTATTTGAAAAATAACTGTTAGAGAATGAGGCAGCTGGAAAGGATCTCATCTGGTCTGTTCCCATCTCAGACAGCATCATCTTTTTCTAAAGGGGGAAAATAGTTCTCCAGGGGTCTGTGTTGCGTAGCTTCTTAAGTAAAGGCAGTGAAGGTTGTTTTGCACGAGGTTAGAATAAAAATATTGATGATGAATGGGAGACAACTTGTCAAAATTGAATAAAAGTAAAAATAAATGAGGAATGCTACGCTTTGGGTTGGGGGAATGAAATATGCTATTACAAAGTAAAGGATTCTGCTTAGGAACTGTTCAGATAATGATCAGAGGGTACATTTAGTCAGTGTTAGATTGCTGGAAAAAGGCAAATTTAATTCCTCAGTGTAGTAATAAAAGGGGCAGTGGAGGGAGTTGGTTTGCACAGGGCTGTTGAGGCTGCAGCTGGAGCGATGGCTTCAGTTGCTGAAGGTTGGTTTCAACCGCTCTTCAGGAAAGTGTTAGAGAAATTCAAGGAGCCTGGAAAAAAGAAAAAAAAAACCCAGTTAAAACTGGAAGGAAGCCAAGCTGTGTGAGAAAGCTGTAGCAGCATTTAAAATCAGCTCTTCCTGAAAAAAGAAACTGGATGTTGGCCCTCCCTTTGTGGTGAAAATATCGCGTTTCAGTAGAGAATCTTAAGCTTTTCCCAGAAGCTGCTTTACCAGCTTGGGTCTAAACTGGCTTCTGTCAATTTGTTTTAATTTTTCATGGAAGCCTGTATAGTATATGATAAATATATTGCTTGGGAATTGGTTCGGATTGGGTTTAGTGGATTTTCATTTCTGGAGTGCATTAAAGCTTGGTTTTAAAAAACTTAATTTGCATAGATATTCTAATTAAATTTCCCCTAAAAAAAAACCCACCTCAAATGCACAGAGTGCTTCCTCATTTCCAGTATTTCAGGCCTCGTTGTGAAATGATGCCAGAATATAGAATTGCTTGAGAAATTTGACTTTTTGATAGTATCAATTGAGGTCACTTTTGGGTCCATCCTCTTTTCTTTGACATCGAGTTTCCAGATTAAAAACCACACTGTGGTGATGGTTTTATTTTATTTCTGACCCTGCTGCCGTAGAGACTTTGAAGCATCTCACCCTCCTTGGGAAATGCTTGTTCTGAGCCTGTTTGTGTTTTATCCTCGGAGAGGAAACATCTTCATACCAACAAGGCAGGGTATGCTGAAATAGTGGGATGTGGCAGATGGTCACTGCCTGGGTTTAATTTTGATGTAATTGGGGAAAAAAGAAGATATTTCATACAGCGCTGCTTGTTTAATTTCTCAAATACAAACTTAAGGGTTTTTTCTATAATTTGCTGCTTTTTAATTGCTTGCCTGCCAGAGGTATAAATAACTACAGTGATAAATTTCTTTTATTGTGGTCTCTCATCCCCAGTTTCCCCTTTTTGTCCTGTGTTCCCTTCGCAGAGCGTTTGAAGAGACAGGTGCTATAGTGTGGTAATAATTGGGGAAGCAAAAGTGTTTCTTTAAAAAAAATAAATAAAATGGGGTCAGAAAAGGCAAACAAGAGTATCCTTGACATTTTTGGCTGATATACAGATACTGACAGACACACAAATGTTCATGTCCTCGTGTTTGAAATCATGACCTAATCCTGCACTTCTCCTGTTCCTTTGCAAAGTTCTGTCTCTGCCGTTGCTTTTCCAAAGTGATGACTTTTGCTAAAAATGCCCTTTTGGGTCTGTGTCAATTTTTTTTCTCCCCTTTTTTCTTTTTCCTTTCCTTCCATAACAGACCAATGGTTACGAGGAAGACGTGTATGGATCATCCCAGAGTAGAAAATCTAGCAGGGTTAGTAGATGATTTATATTGCTCTAAAATCTATTGCTCTACTTAATAGGCTTAAAGCTAATTAGCAAATTCTTTTTTCCTGTGGTAAAGCAGGTTTTTCCTGTCTTGCGTGTTGTGGGTTTTGCAGTTTGTCAGACGCGGAGGTGCAGCAATAAATTGTCTTAAAAAAAATTAAAAAAAAATAAAAAAAATTAGGCCATGAGTGGGAAGGGAAGTCTCTGCGTTTGTTACAAGCAGAACTTGGCAGCCAGAGCTGCTTAACGTGTCAACAAAATTGGGTGAAAGTTAAATGGTGACAAGAAATAGTTTGGTGTCACCTGGCACAGAGGATTTCTGTGTGCTGGACAACAGAATGATTGTTTTCCAACCTGTGTAAATCTGTTTGAGTTTGTGCTCTAACACTGAAACTCCCAAGTTTCATCTAGATTTTAGCCTGGGGCTTGAGATTTGCATATGTAAAGTGGGCTTTGGATTTTGAATTTTCCCCAAACTTATGTCGTTTATTTGAAGTTTGCTTAACTAAATTTTGGTTTGTTTTTGTTGGATTTTTTTTCTTTTTCTGTTATAAACTGTGTCCTAGGATTTCTGGAGGTGAACAGCCAGCGCAAGGGTTACTACTGAGCTACTTACCATTGATGTACTTTTATTTCTAGAAAAGTTCTTGTCACAAAAAGCTTAATTATTAACTCCATTGTGTGTATGTGGGTCACAATGTTCCCTTCTGTTCCAGCACAAGTGTTCTGTGTCAATTATGGGAATTAACTGTCCCGCTTTGTTAAATATTGGGGTTTGTGCTAATTATTTAAAGGTATTGTCTCAAGCAGAGCCTCTTTGGGAGGCAGACACGGGG